ATATCCCGGAATCGACTAGGGGAAAACCACTCCGCCACTGAGGGCCGTGCAGAAACGACGGATGGCCCCCAAACCACAATCAATAACCGCAATGCCGCCCCCCCTCCTCCTCTCCACCCCCCCTTTTGCGGGCTCGGAGGTGGAACCGTGCAGCTGGGGTAACCGTGTGCGCCCCGGGAGAGCTCGCGCAGTTCCCTATGATTAATTGATCGCCGGTCGCTAGGCGACCAGCGCTGGGGTTTAAAGTCTCCCCCCCCCCACTCGACCGTGATCAACACCACCACTACCAGCAGCCTGCTCGGCCGCTGGAAAGAACCCCCCCCCCCCCGCAAGCAACGCAGCCTTGGGGTGGGGAATGAATGAAGCTTGCGCTGGCCGCTGCAACAATAATGCGCGCATCATTTCGACGCAGCGCTGAGATTCAAAGGAAAAGAAGGGCAAGGTTTAAAAGGGGGGTTGGTGGGGGAGTGAGGGGTTATGCCAAGGGTCGGAGATCTAGGATTTAGATATTTCCGCAGCTGCAACCAGACATTGGGGAGGGGGGGGCTATGAAGGCAAAGGGACCGTACCCCAGCCCCTTACTCACCCTCTCCTCAGCCCGCCCGCCGTCTAGGCTAGATTTTTTTCCCGCAACGGCGCCTCCGGTATGTGGGTCACCCCCCGCAAGGCTTCGAGGAGGGAAGGCAACGGCCGCCCCGCAGACTAGAGCCGCCGCGCTGGGCCAGGTGAAGGCGCAATCGCTGCCGGCAGCCTTAGAGAACCGGAGCCACCCGCTCGGCCCGCCGCCTGCCGGTCAGCACGGGGAAGTGCGAGGTTAGGGGAGAGCGCGGAGGGGGGGCCCCCGGAGAGCGAGGGTCGGGCCTGGTCTGGTGTGAAGGGTTAGGTCCGCTGAGGAAACGGGGTTAGTAGCCAAGGGGAAACCGGTTGTGCGAACGCGGCCTGGTTCTGACAAGAGTCTGAGTTTGGGCTTCTGGCGTTTCCATGCTTCTCCCTCCGGCTGGAAAATAGCTTGCCTGGGAATACAGCTGTGGTTTTGGTAGTTCTCCAGGCATTGTTTTTGAGCCTAAAAGATCAATAGCTCTTTCCCAACAGCCCTACTACATTTCCAAGGATTGAATTGAAAATTCTTTTTCAAGGAAATGCCCTTTTCGCCTATTACTTTACACCATACAATCCTAAAGGTGCTTTTTGCAAGACGCAAATGGACTTTCTGGTTTTTTCTTAGAAGACGTTTCAGTTCTCATCCAAGACGTGAGAAGATGAGAAGCAAAAGATCTTCAACAACAACAACAAAAAAAAAAAAACACAGAAAGTCCAGTTGCCTCTTGAAAAAGCACCTTTGAGATAATCATGACCTGGATGACTGAGAAACTCCAGTTGCCCTGTTGGATTTACATTCCTTTCCCTGAGTACATCTACCTTAAAATGCGCCTATAGGCAAGAATATGGGACGCAGAATATGGCTCAGAAGCTGAGCTTGTTGATCAGAAAGGTCCGCAGTTCTACAGTTCGAAACCCTAGTGCCGCGTAACGGAGTGAGCTCCTGTTACTTGTCCCAGCTTCTGCCAACCTAGCAGTTCGAAAGCATGCAAACATGCAAGTAGAAATATAGGGACCACATTTGGTGGGAAGGTAACACCGTTCCATGCACCTTCGTCATTTAGTCATGCCGTCCAGAGGAACACAGAGACTTCTTCGGACAGTGCTGGCTCTTCATCTTTGAAACGGAGATGAGCACTGCCCCCTAGAGTCGGGAATGACTAGCACATATGTGCGAGGGGAACCTTTACCTTATAGTCTGTTGCAGGATAGAGGTTTTACTTCTCCAAAAAATCTGAACTTGGCAGATTTCTCACTGAACTTGGAATGGTAAAAACAGTTGACTAAATTCACACATGACACATCTGCAACCACCATGCGAATGGTTTACTTATTACCAATGCTGGTGCAGTGCTCAAAGCTCTAAAGGACTTACAGCTGCAACATAATGCACGACAAAGCAGTATCCATGCGAACCATAATATCTAATGAATGGCATAATTAAGCAATCATAATATTTTGATTATAAAACCACAGAACATGAATGTTGAGAACCTAGAACTCCTTACATAACCAGATCCTTCTACATGATCTCTGAATGCCCTTCAAGAGTCTTTAAAAAAGTGTCTATCCTGGGGTGTTGCTGTTTGGGCGCAGTTAATGTTTAGTATGGCGTGTGAGCAGGTTGAAGGTTAATGCAATGTGTGAATCCAACATTCTGTTCCTGCAGCAGTGAATATGAGTGCATTACGAGTAGTTCTCAACTTATAATCACAGTTGCAACCGAAATTTTGAGTGTCACATGATGCCTTTATTAAGCAAGTCATCGTATGATGACTGCAGTTGTTAAGCATGTCACATTAAGTGAATCACGTGGTTGTTAAGTGAATCCAGCTTCCCCAATTGACTTTATTGGAAGCTGACTGGGAACAGCTTCAAATCTCACCAGGCTCAAGATTGACTACGCCTTCCATCCTTATCAGTTCGGTAAAATGAGGACCCAAATTGCTGACTCTGTAAATCGTTTAGAGAAGGCTACAAAGCACTGTAAATGGTATTTAAGTCTAAGTGCTATTGCTATCACATTGGTCTACAAAGCAAGCTCCTCTCGACGTATGCTCCACAACAATCGGAATTCAGAAATTTTCTTGTTAATACCTGTAGCATTCTTCTGTTGAGAAATCTAACTTACATGTGCACATTTTGCTAAGCCATAATGTAGTTTATCTAGACTTAATGCTGTCTGTTTGTGTTATATCTTTGCATATTGTAGGATCAACCCAGTTATCCTGTTCCACAAATCATGGTTTAGTTTAATGTAGCATGGTGTATGAATGCAGGCTTATCCTTCATCAATTCACAACCTTGCAAAGCTGGATGCCTGTCCCATATACCCACTGTTTTCCTTTTAGTTGGGACATGTCATTCTGGTCTTAAGAATCAACAAGGCTTTTACCACCCATTGCAGTATTTAAGTTGGAATGCCCCAGTCATTTAAGTGCTTCATTTATTTTTGCAAAGCTTCTGCCAATAGAACAGTTCAAGGACTGGGCAACCAATTTAGCACCTTAGAAGAAAAAAGCAACCGGGGACTGCTTAAATTCTTAATTAAACTTGTAAGTAAATTAAACTTAAACACTGCTGTGGACTATAGCCAAAAAATACATTGCTTCAATCAATGGGATCTAAGCCAAAAGCCATCTAGGCTTTCAAGATATTCAGCACTTTACAGTGCCTTAATAAGACACACAGATGCAGCAACACAGGATGGGAAGGGCTTTTGCTGAAATCCACTTAATTACTTGTGGTACCCATGATGTTGTCTCTTGTGACCTCCATGAAATCCTTGATCTCCAACTACAGCAAGGAATCAGCTGCTAAGGGGAAAACATTAGTGATAAATGTTGCTATGATCCTTCAAACACAATGTTTCTTGGAGTTTCCAGAGAGGTGGTTGTGTTAGTCTTTCAGGCCAGAAACAAAATAAACATAAGCAAGAATAGATCAATTACTCCTTAATAGCAATAGCAATAGCAATAGCAGTAGACTTATATACCGCTTCATAGGNTGAAAACGTCTCCGTGGTCTTTTGACTGGCATGACTAAATGCTTAAGGTGCGTGGAATGCTTTTACTTTCCCCCCAAAGATGGTCCCTATTTTTCTATTTGCATTTTTACATGCTTGTGAACTGCTAGATTGGCAGAAGCTGGGACAAGTAATGGGAACTCCCTCCATTACACAGCGCTAGGGATTCGAACCGCTGAATTGCCAATTGCCAACCTTCTGATTGACAAGTCTTAGTCACTGAGTCACCATGTCCACTAATTGAAAAGTTAGGTGGTGCCTAAATCAAACTATATGATGTTTGATGGGAAAGGACTGAAAAATTCCTAAAAGGCTCTTTGTTGCCAAGTAAGCAGGCTGTTTTTAATAATATATCAAAGTTATATTCTGCTTGACTTCCTCTAGCCTGATCCTAATCATGTCTCCCTAAAGATCTAGTTAATCAACAGTAGCAGAAGTCTCCATTTCTTTCCCTCACTGTAAATATGTTACTGATATGATATACAAAGAGTTGGTCTTTTCCCCAGGAGAAAAAAATCCTGAAATTCAACAGTGGCATTCTTTGATTAAAATGTTATTTAGGAGCAGCAGGTACTATAAATTTAAAATATTTTGTTCAATATACACAAATAACACTCTTAATCTAGATGTAAAAGAATGCAAGCTGTATTTTTCATCCCTATGGGAAAAGGGATCAGTAAATAAATTTTATAACCAATATTTGCTCTAGCCACATTGAAAATAAGTTTTTAAAAATCTGATAAAACTTAATAAAAGGCTGTGTTTATACTGAATTGTTTGTGCTTTCCAATTGTTAATTTCCTCTTCACTGTTTTGTTCTGTTCCAGACCTGCTAAAGGAAAACGATAGTGCTATGTTATATGTTTGTGTTATGTTTCTATATAAGGTTCTAAATTCTAGATACATTTTCCACTGAAAAATACCCATTTATTCAACTACACTTGCCTTACTTATTAAATAATAGTGAAGGTAGTGAATAGTAAATTAAATAAAAAATAAAGCTTGAATTGTTGCTTACAGCAAAGCTACAGAGCCATGTGTATTTATCTTTAACTATTATCTGTAGTCTCGAAACTAAACATGTGCATAAATGAAATTGAAAATGGTTAGGTGAGAAATGATAAATAGTGGCATTGCACCATCTGCTGGTACACAAAAACAGTCTTTTAAAGTGCTTTGAAGAAAAAAAAGTTATTTTCCTAGTATGAAGCCTAACCATATACATATTTGTTTAGTTTCAAATTATATGTTCAGTGAGTCTTTCTCACAAGTAAATGACCTATTTTATTATAAAACATCAATTTTATAATAGAAATGGCATAAAAGGAGCTAACCTAAATATTTCTATAACAAAAATTGATTTTGCATTCAGAACACATTGCATAAATTAAATTGATTTGATTCTTTGCATGATTTATTGAGCTTTCATAATTTGTGATCGGGGAGAAAGCAAGGAACTGGCATTTTAATTCATCTGCAAAAAAAGTTGTTCAAAGCTAATATTTTAGTTTCTTTTAATAGATTTGTAAGCATATATTTTTTTATGTTTTATGTACTCTGCTGCTTCAACCTCGAAAGACTCCCAAAGAGAAAAGAATTTCTAAAAAGTATGCTATTATTTTAAAATATGAAACTTAAGCAGTGGTGAATCTTGTAAGAAGGTAACATATTTGAATCAGCTTTGATTTCTAGTCACTTCAGGAACAAATCACTTTGTTTTCTTGAAAACAATACAATCATTTGCCATTATGTTCTGGGATGATTTTTATATTTTACAATCTAGGAGATAACTGTAGGAGTTCCAGGGGTCTTCCATTGTAATGCTAAGCAGATAAAACTCTACTTGACTCTTCATAATTAGCCATGGTCAAACCTGCTTCATTTTTCCAGGTAGATTCCTGGTCTGTTTGATCTTACAGAATTGTTTAGGTGTTACCAATAAAGGCGAATAATTGTAGTTCAGGGTTGAAATGAGATTTTCATTTGGATTTTAGAGAGCACCAAGGACCTCTTATTGTTTAGGTGTCTTGGCTATAATCTATGTCTTGAGTGGGGCCCTCATATACATATTCTGATGATTACAAATTCTGCTTCAGGTGGAAAAAGGTAGCTCTTGAGTTATTCTGATCCCAAAATAAGTTAGCTGTTTGTAAATCAAAACTGGTATTACAGTAAATGGAAACTTGTGTTCATGGTATAGTTCACCCACTGAGTTTTCAGTAAAAGTAGAAATTGGAATTCTGTTTTTTTCTATGCTGTTTCATATTTTGTTTTTGTTTTTTTTACAGGAATCCCATTTTTGACACTTTCTTCTGTTAAATTCCTACTTGTTCCTTTCAGTATGGAACTAGATGACATCACTCTGCAGAACAAGAAAATAAGCAAATCAGAAAAGAAGTTGCGGCAAAAACAGATGAAAGCCAGATATACCTTACTAAAGCATGAGGGTATTGAATGTGTATCATACCCTACTAAGGTGATTAGAAACTGTACTTTTTATGAGAGTGTGCATTCACATATTGTGTTAAGCATAGCTCATGATTTTACACAAAATAGGATTAAAGCATAGCCGTCTAGTTTTGTATAGCATCCTANGTGGGATTACTGTGCTTGATTGGCCAGCAAACTCGCCTGACCTGAACCCCATAGAGAATCTGTATATATGGTAGGCAGTCTTGATAATGGTGGAAGGTGCTGCTCTCTGGACATGTCCATACCAGCAGAACCGGCCTTCTTTCATCTTCTCTATAATTGGTGCCACACTAAAATGCTGTCGAATGGTGTCATTTGTGATATGGTCAAGAAGGGAGATGCCCGATATCCAATGGAGCATTCACATTTCCATGGCATGGAGATAGCTTTCAGTCCCTGTTGTTGCTGTGTAGCATCCAGTGCTCTACAGTGCAACAGGGTGGATGGTTGTCTTGTAAATCTTAGATTTAAGACTGGTTGGCATTCGTCTGTCAAATAACATACCAGGGAGTTCTCACCAACGCATCCAGGCTACATTCACCCTTGCTCGCAACTCAACATTGCCTTGGAATTGGAATCCCAGATACTGAAAAATGTCCACCTTCTTTAGATTTTCTTGATTGATTTGAAGCGTTCCAGGAATGTTAACAGTCTCTAAGTACTCAAAAAGGGCATATATAATGTAGTATTTTATTTAATATATGTTCCCATCAAGATGTCAGATTTTTGAGATTGGCCAGGTCAAGAAACAGATACCCTGGGATTTCAGGAATGCTATTTTATTTCAAAATAGCCTTTAAAAGAATTTTAAAATGACACCTAGGTCAAGCTGGGGTTGTTCTGAATCTTTTTCTCATGCTTTCTACTTTTCCATGATTAATTAGTTTCACTCTCCCATCTCCTTTTCAAGGCCTGAGCCAAATTCCCCCATGCAGGTGTAATTCTTTTGCTAGTATTGAAGTAAAATTCAGTCATCATTTTGACTAGTTTTTACACATGGAATTGGGAAAAGTCATGTGTTTCGTTTTTCAGAAATATTGGGTTGGTCTTCATTGTCCCTAAAAGTTCTTCCTTCACTACACTTTTTAATATCACAGAAGAAGGTATTTAAAAAAAGACACTTTACCAGAGTATATTTTTTAATACTGTAATTACATTTGAAATAAACCAAAACAATTTTTTATCCAGTAGATTTGGTATATATTTATATATCCATAAGCTTAGAAAAGTCGCACATCACAATTCCATAAAAATGATAAGTTTTTTACTTTTCATCCTGTGTGTGGGTATTAAACACAAACCATTGTGGTTGCCTAGTATCACCAGAGTGCTCTGAAACAATACTAGTCAATTTACTTCCAGAAAGTAAGGAAAACTGGAGCCACACATACTTCTTAGAATAAAATGTTTCCTAGT